GGTGACTTTGACTTCATTTTATTGACCACCAAGAATATTCCTGACGGACCAATAACTTGTGAAGATATTATTAGGCCTGCTGTTACTTCTAAGACTGTAATTATTTTACTTCAAAATGGGATTGGTATAGAGAAACGAATGATTGAAGAGTTCCCGCAAAATGTGATACTTAGCGGTGTTACTTTGCTTTGTTCCACTAATATTAATTGTGTTGTATGTAATCTGCTTAAAGATCAACTTTATCTTGGAGCTTGGATTAATCCAAATATTGAGAACCATGCCGAGAAAGAACAAGTTGCAATTAATGAATTTACTAGAATGTATGGCAACGAAAAGTATAACAAAATTTTTATTGATGAAAACGTGGAAAAGACAAGGTGGGAAAAATTACTCTATAATGCTGCTCTTAATTCTACTACAACCGTAGTTAACTTAGATGTGAGTAGATGTCAAATTGCAGGTGCAAATAATGAACTTTTTAGACCAGCCATGAGAGAGGTTGTAGCGATTGCTGCTAGTGAAGGCATTGAAATATCGCCCGAAACTATTGAAAAATTTATTCATATTAGCGATGGCCAATTTTATAGTCCTTCAATGTGCGTTGATGCAAGAAAGAAGCAATTATTTGAATCGGAAATTATTTTGGGTAATCCTATAAAGATTGCAGAGGCAAATGGTGTAGGAACACCCGTATTAAAGACATTATATACTCTATTATCAATGGTTCAGTTTAGAATTAAAGAAGAAAAGGGCATAATCAAGATAGATGAAAACGAATATAGAAACCTAAACTCAGATTCTTACCCAGATATACACAAGAAATAGATTCTCATATATTAAAATTATAAATAGACATTGCAACATAGAATAAATATATGTATCAACACCAAGTAAAAACTGGTGGCTTGTTTTTAACTTTCTCTAATCTTTCAATTACTACCTTCTTAATATTAGTCTCACCTTCTTCATTTTCGTTTCTTTGTTCCTCATTGAAATTTAAATTATATTCAAACCCCGACATATTGAATTGTGGTTCACTTTTGGTGCTATGGATGCTACTATTATCAGGCAATAGCGGGCTCATTTCATTAGGCTCCAAATCATTCAAATTGTTGAACTTAGGAATATTATTGATTTTAGATTGTTTATTATTCAAATCATAAATGCTTGTCTGCATTGCGTTTATCATTATGTCGGAGTCCACCAGTACAGGAATATTCATTTCATCATCACGAATTAACACTGTTTCTCTCCTAGTCAATTCTAGAGGTCCAGCATGGCTCAACTTCAATACCTCAACAACGTTAAATGCTTGACCTTTCAATACTGATAACTGCTTCTTCCACATTCTTTCCTTGAAGTCAGTATCTTGCATAAACACATCTTTCAACTTTTTGACAGTCGTTTCCCACCACATTGTAGATGTTAATAATGGTAAGTAGTGATTTCTAGTATTCATTGAGAACGGGTGGCCTATAATAGATAATGGTAAAAATAGCCACCCGAATGGAAAAGATCTCCATTCATCAGGATGCTTCCAAGGAAATGCCAAACCCGAATCAATAGCTCCAATTTTAATAATAGGCGTCATTTTTTTGTAAGATTTATCACGTTTAATCTCAATCCATTGAATTTTTATCATCCAGTTATCTAAACCTCTATCCGTGTTCCTCATAATATAGTCCAATATTACCAATTTTTCTAGCTCCTCTCTAAATTGTTGCAAAGTTTTCTTATTCCATGTAAAATTTGAATCTAAATTATTTTCATTATCCCCAACCAAGATCTCACATTCATCAGGCAACCCAGTTATTTCATTAGGAATAGGAAAACGATGAAACCATACTTGAGCTTCCATATAACCCTTTAGAAAGCATTGGAATGAACCAATTTTTGGTGACAATTTTGAATAAGCTCTATGTCTATCCCAGTATGAATAATAAAATGAGCTTGACTTAAGATATACTATTTCCGTATGTGGTACAATGAATGATAACAATTGTTGATCAAGTATACTAGCGGCTGCCTCGCTAACATATCCCAAGTTTGGAATAAGACAAGATCGTCCAAAAAAACAAGGAAAAAAAGTTCTGTGTAGCCATTTTGTCCACTTAGGAGATAACGGCCCATAAGGTTCTTCATCTTTTGGTTTGAATATGCCCGCCCTATATATTTCTTGAGTATCATCACAAATCTTTCTGTTATATATAAAATAGCTACCTGAGGATCCTTGGGAAATACGATTGGGTTTATAATCATCCAATTCGATTAGATCTGTAATACCAATAACTAAACTCGAAAAATCATCTTTACTTAAGAAATTATCAGGATATCTAAGTTCACTCAGGTCCTCATCGATTATTCTTTGCCAGTGAAAGTTATATTCGTCTTCGGTTTGGACAGGTCGTATATTTTTCAATGGCTTGAAAACAGAGTACTCTATTTTATAAAGTGGAGTTAAATCTTCTTTCTTCGATCTACCATTGGATATCGGTGAATAAGCCCATTTGGCGGCGGGGATAATGTAGCTCTTAGTAAATTTATTGAATTGACTAAGAGATGTTTCTGACGATCTGCTATAGAAGGGCTGGGATTTGCTTCGTACTAATTTCTTCTGAGATGATGCCAGTGTTAATTTCTTTAAGCCTTCATTTGGAGATTGTTTCGATATGTTGATGGAAAACGGATCAACAACTGAATCTAGATTAGGCACATAGTGACGGATACTCGAATCATAGCTTGAAGTAGATTGTAGATGATTACTATCTAGGGGGGAATATGGCTCAGCTTTATGTGTATTTACATCCTGAGACTCTTTAAGGCGTTGGAAGCCCGAAATTTCATCGTTTTCAGCTAGATTCTTTGGAATTTCAGTATTATCATCGTTCTTCGTCATTGACACAAATACACCAAAGTGGATACCAAGAGCTATTCGCCGGAGAGTCTATCCTTCTATGGACTGACATACTGATAGAAAATTGAAACCCGTGAAAACCCTAAGAAAATCCTCGATAAGGATATATTATGTGGTATGCATATAATCAGAAATAGGATATTTATTTAAAATTAATTGGATTATTAACGATTACTATATAGAGAAAACTGGAAAATTAAACGAGAAGAAAGGACAAAATAGAATGGGGTAGTATATAAGATAATGTGAATTAGAGGTACTTGAGAAGTAAAAATTTAAATGATCTAAGTTAACATGACGATTTCTTGTTTAGATTAGCAATAAAGCACCACCAAATATTAATGTTTGTAAGTAAATCAAACATTTAACAATTGGAATATTTGAGTTTCGTTGTAAGCTAATGGAGCCAGAATCCGAAGAAGATGTAGGGGAATTTTCTTTGTTATTGCCGTACATGTGTAAGGTTGTAGCTTTTTTAGAAGATGTTGTGGAGGCTGAAGTGGCTAAAATCTTCTCTTTTTTAGTTTGCGAGGCAGTTTTAGTAGAAGAGGCTTTTGTAGAAGACGATGGGAATACTTCTTCATTCAACTCTGCAAAGAGTCCATCATCTTCTAAATCTTTAATGATCTTTTTAACAGCTCCAGAATACTTTCCTAAACTGCTACCGAGATTGAGATCGCCACTCAAGACCTTTCCAATAAGATTTGTAATAGCCTTAGGGTTACTAACAGCGGTACCAACAAGAGAAGTGATATTAAGGGAGCCGCTAAACTTAATAGCTCCAGTATCATATATTTCCTTTACCAACGCAGCAGTCATATTTTGATAGCTTTCATCAGCGATGAATCTTTTAATAGTGTATACTGCAACTCCAGTATCATTTAAAGCATTGACGATATCAGCAAAAGTATTTGTGAAAATCTTTGACCCCAAAATAGTTGCAAGAGTATTTTCTGCAAAAGAGGCGAGACTTCCACTGTAATCTGCTCTCTTCTGAATACTCCTCTTTTGGAAAACATCATGGATGAGGTACGAGATAATGAACATATTTGGTCTAACAACCCTTTCGATTAAATCGGTTAAAACCGGTCTGTAATCATCGTCTAATAAAATACCGTCTAAAACAGAGGTGAGTAATCCGGAATCCTTGACAATATTGAGGAGTTCGGTAGTATTCAACCCAGATGTTAATGCAGACAAATCCAATGAACCTCCGGAGGAGTTAAGGAGCTTACCAGTTTGATTAGCAAGGAATTGGATTCTGGATGGATGCCCCGCAACAGCATCCAAAGCTTCCCAAATAATGCCAGACTTATTAACAAGTAAGAGTATCTTCTCAATGGACTTTTCGTCTCTCTTGTGTATACCATCGTTCTGGTAAAAACCGTCAAAATATTCTTGTAATCCATTTTCTTCAATCAAGTCTTCTAAATATAGCCCCATGTCAAATTCAGAATCCTCAACAGGAGAAGCATATGGTAAGGCAGATACAAACGCTGCGAACATGCAACAGAATGAAAGAAGGGTATATAATCTCATTGATAAATGCTAGTAGTTAACGAAGTAAGTCTAAACGTCTCTTTTATTAAGCGTTGATAGAAAGAAAAGCAAAAATTTTTATAGGTAATTTCTATTCCACATATATTCTCCCAGATCCTTGCAATTGAACTTTCAACCTAGGACAATTCCAAACAAAATGGTTGTAAAAATTACTTAATTAGTTATATTAACTTAAAATTTCCATTTTAGGTATATTGATTAATGGAAGCATTTTCTATTTCCTAATTAGGTAATGATATATTTCATTGGTTCACCTATTTTTTTTCATGCATTTATTTCTTTCATTTTTAAGTAGCAAGTTACAAAACCTTCAATGACTACTTCCTTTATACACATATCCAGCTTAGCATATGAATACACCTATACATTAATATGTTTTACTATAAGTAAAATACCATGAGTTAGGAATCCTCCACATAGAAGTAAGTTTTACGAATCCACTTTATGTATGCTAATGCGTTAGCTTACGCATGAGATCACAGAAAAAATGATTAAGGATTGCCTAAAACGGCAAACGAGAACAAAAATGTAAGGAAAAGCATAAACACATGCTTAAATACTGCACATAGTGGGATTTAGAAAATTTCCAAAAACAAATACCAAAAATGACATTTCTCCTCCTCGTAGACACTAGGAAACAACAAACTTATATGATTGAAGATCTCACTTTTGGAGAAAAAAAATAAATTATTAAAAAAAAAGTCTATCAAGGTCGTCATATACTTAGTATATTGCTAATTAGAAAAGAAAACTATCATATTAGAGCGATAGTGTATACCCTATTACTTAATAATAAAATCGAATAGATAAACACCATGAGGTTATCAAGGATAATATTGACTTGCATACCATTTATGTCAGGATTGACTCAGGCTATCACTCCAAACTCTGGTGTATATCAAGTTGGCACTAAAGAGGAAAGATCATTAGAGGACATATATGAGGATTTTGTGCTGATTGTTGATTCGCATGTCAACAAGAGAAGTGACAGTTCCAGGGTTGAGCAGTTGGAAAAAATTCTCTTACAGGTTAACGAATCAGGAATAATAATGGATGTTTTGAACGAGATTGCTGGTTCTAAGGCCCAACAGAATACATTGGTCAATATGACCACAGATATGATCAACAATGGAGGTGGGTCATTTGATGGAATTCAAATTGACTTGAACACCACTAATATACTTAATGCTGTTAAGAAATCGGGTATAATAAATTCAACCCTTGACGGTTTGCTTTTGGATGATGAGAATAGAGAAATTCTTGGGGATCGTACAGGGCATGTTCTAAGCAAATACGCCTATGTATCCAAAATATTGGCGGACTTAGGAAATGGCCAAGAACCAACGGTTGA